GCTTGGCAGCCACTAAGCAGTCATTCTCCCCTCCTCCTCTCTAAAATCTGATCCTAGCCGATGTGAGGATCTCTCTGCCAACATGGCCTTCAAGATACACACAGTAGAGAGGACGATGCATAGTTCATGGAACCAGTCAGGTTCTCTACTGAGCTGCCTGGCAGATCTGGCCAGCAGACTGGCCAGCCTGAGCCTGCTTCCATCCTGGTGTTCATCCCCACAGCAGTGGACTCATACAACATTTGTCTTTTTGTGATTGGCTTCTAGATCCATGTCATGAGGTGCTTCATGGTTTCACCATTGTTTTTAGGGATGCCTGAGTATATGAAAGTTTTTTTTTATCCATTCTTCTACTGATGGGGATTTGGATTGTTTCCAACTTCTTGTTATTGTGAACTGTGCTGCAATGAACATAGGAGAGCATAAATCTGCTCATAATCTGTCTCTTAATTCTTTGAGGTATATGCCCAGCAATGATATTGTTGGGTCATATGGTATTTCTATTGCCAGGTATTTTAAGGAGTGGCATATTGCTGTTCACTGTGGTTGTACATATTTACAAGTCCACCAGCAGTGTGAGTTCCAATCTCTCTATGCCCTTGCCTGCTTTTATCTTTTTATTTTTTTAATTTGGCTATGGTTATGGGTGTTAAATATATTATCTCATCATTGTTTTGATTTGCATTTCCTGGATGGCTGGTGAAGGAGATAATTTCCTCATGTGCTTGTTAGCCATTCAAGTGTTGTCCTTGGTAAGCTATCTATTCACATCCCTTTGCCTATTTTTTTTTTCTTGTGGGCTTGCAGTATTCTGTAAATTTTATTACTTTTAGTCCTATGTCCATTATGTCATTGCTACTTCTCTTTTCCCAATCTGTTGTCTCTGATGTCCCAGTCATTTTACTCTTCTGATATATAAAAGCATTTTATTTTAATAGACTCCAGCCATGTATTTTGTCTTCTGCTGTTTGTACTTCCTTTGTTATATCTCGTATCATCGATATGCCCTCTACCAGGGGCCCTTAGATTTGTCCCAATTTTCTCATTGGTGAATCGTGACAGCTTTGGGTTATACACCTAGGTCTCTGATCCACCTTGAGTTTGTTTTTGTGCATGGGGCGAGCTATGGGTCTTTTTTCATTCTTCTACAGATGGACATTGTTTTCCACCATCATTTGTTGAAAAGGGCATCCCATCGCCATCCCATTTATTGTTTATTGGGCCTTTGTTGAAAATCAGTTGTCTGTAGGCAGATGCTTTTATTTCTGGCTTTTCTGTCTTTTTCCAGTGGTCTATATATTTATCACTATACCATTACCAGACTGTTTTGACAACGGTGGCTTTGAGGTTAGGTAGTGGAATGCCACTTACTTTGTTCTTCTTTTTGGGCAGTGCTTTGTTTATCCTGGATTTCTTCCCTCTCTCTACGTGATTAGTAATTTTTATATTTCTTTAAGGAATGAAATTGAGATTTGGAGAGGGATTGCCTTGAATTTGTAGATTGCTTTGGGTAATATTGACATTTTCACAATACTGAGTCTTCCTACCTATGAACACATGATATTCTTCCTTTTGCATTGGTCTCTTGAGTTCTTGTCTTAATGTTCTGTAGTTTTCTTTGTACAGGATTTTATTTCTTTGATTAGGGTTATTCCTGGGTATTCCAACTTTTGTTTGGCTATTGTGAATGGTATTGTTTTCTTGATGCCTTTTTTCCTGATCTCTCAACACTACTATGCAGGAGTCTAATTGATTTCTGCTTGTTAATTTTGTATTCTGCGACTACACTAAATTCCTCCATTGTTTTCAATAATTCCAATTGTGAAGACCTTGGAGTTCTCTCTCTATAAATTGAAATCATCTACAAATAGCAAGAGCATCACTTTGCCCAATTGTTCTCCCTTGTACTAAACCTAAGACTTCCAACACAAGGTTGACTAAGAGTGGAAATAAGGGACATCCTTGTAGGGTTCCTGTTTTCAATGGGAATGTTTTCAGCTTTACTCCCATTTAGTGTGCTCTTGGCCATTGTTTTTTCATATATGACCTTTTTGTGGTGAGGAATTTCCCTTGTCTTCCTATCTTATTGTTTTTTTCAGGAATGGGTCTTGGATATTATCAAAATGCTTTTTCTGTATCAATTGATAGGGTCATGTGTTCCTTATCCTTTATCTTGTTTAGGCGTTGGATTATTTTTCAAATGTTTAACCATCTTTGCATCCCTAGTATGAATCCCACTTGGTCATGAGGCATTATTTATTTTATATGTTGTTGGATTCCTTTGGCCAGGATTTTGTTGAGAATTTTGACATCTAAATTCATGAGGGATATTGGTCTATCATTTTCTATCTTTGTGGGTCTTTGCTTGGTTTTGGTATCGGAGTTACGCTGGTTTAACAGAATGAGTTTGAGAGTTTGCTCATGCGTAACTGTTGCTTATTTCCAATCATTTATTAATTATGTCATTGTATGATCGCCATGAAAGGAGCCCTGATGGTACAGTGCTGACCACAAGGTCAGCAGTTTGAAACCACCAGTTGCTTACTCCTAGTGAGAAAGACAAGGCTTTCTACTCCTACAAAGAGTTACAGTCTCAAAAACTCAGAGAAGCAGTATTACCCTGTTCTACAGGGTCGCTATGACTTGGAATGGACTCAACAACAATGAATTAAACCTTTTTTGTTATCACTATAACTTAAGCTTTTTTATAAGTAAAAGAATTGAGATGTATTTCCAAATTTCCAGTCGTTCAAAAAATGGTCACTATATTATATTTTATATTTAAAAAATGCTCATAGTAACATTCTCTAATGCTATGAAAATGTGGCACACAGTCAGTAATATGTCACCCAAGAAAATAAATCTTAAATGGCTCATTTTAATAAATTAAGCACTGCATGAACACATGCTAGTACAAAAAGTGTACATTAAATACATTTTCAATAATTCTTGAAACAGCATCCTAAATTCAATTTCAGTAATTTTGTTCTCTCAAGCTAACACTAAACATTTGCATGTGATATATACTTCAAAATAATAGAACCACATGAAATGAAATGTAAATGGTCTCAGAGAAAATCCAGTTTAGCATTACATAATATTTATTATTTTGTAATTGCTATTGTATCTGCTATTGTAAAGAGGGGGCAGGGAAATTGGTATATATTTTTACTGTGTACAGAATAAAGCAAATAGACTAAATGTCTTTTGAGATAGTGTTATTGAAATTAAATCAGGGAAATCTAAGTTTCTGATATTGGTTTATTCACGTCAACTACTTCCACTAACATGCAATAGTTTCTACTTTGTGAAATTTCATTTCTAAATTGTATCTGACCCATACTCAGAATTTAAGTAACTTAGTATATATGCCACATTTTAAAAGATAGTGTAGGTCCCTTAATCGTTTTGATTTGTTCAATAATTGTGGAAAAGAAAGTGGAGGAATAAGGGCACAGATGAGAGTACAAAAGTCACCTAAATTAATTATGATTACAATAACGAAAGCTATCAGATGATGGAAAGTGTGGAGGGTGGGCAGACTACAATGGTGAAATATGATGCCTGCATCCAACACCAACTTTCTTACAGTGAAGACGAGTGGGCTTGGGCAAGTCAGTCTTAGGAAATCATTTTCTTCTTCAACTTGGAAATAAAAAAGGTTAGACCAGGTAAGTTTTAAACCCCCTTACAAATCCAATAGAATTATAACCCCCTACCCTACTCTCAGGTACTGCTTTGGCAACAAGTAGTTCCAATACAATCTAAAATCATAAATGAAGAAACCTTTTCAAAGTCTGCTGGAAATACAAAAAACTAGGTTATTGTTATGCCAGGAATAGTTACTTTCTTTCATTAACAAACCATTCTCTCTTTACGGTTTAAACTGCTATGGTTTTAAAAAAGTATAACCATTTTCTTAGTTGCGATTTAAATTCTGTATATCATCTATCTGTGCATTTTTTTAAAGTTCACATTCAAATGTATCTACAAATATCCTGTCTAATGAAACTGTTTTCAGTAAAGTTTTAAAACATTTGCAAAATAATCTCATTTTCTTTAGCATATATTCTTAGCATTGTTGAAGTGATAAAAAATTTTAAAACCTGATGGTTAACTTGAAATTTTATAGGTCTTCAGTGTCCTTAATTTGAATTAAATATTATTATAATAAATTAACATAAATATAAGGAACAAATATCTACATTAATATTTTATGCTTGGAAAATATTTAGAGAAATAGTGTTCTTTATATTGATATATTCAAGGAAATATTACTATGTTCAATTTTCCACTTTGGATCTCAGAAAGGGAACAATATTACCATGTGTTCATCATCCCCCCAAACTCAGACTTAAAGAGTCTATTTCATTCAACTAGGTAATTTCAGTATAAGTAGCTACTGATAGACTATAATGTATTCTTTAATGTAATAAGACCAAAACAAATCTCATCTATATTTGAGGGAAATGAAATGCTGGCTAATTACAAACATTACTTTCCCACTTCATCCTTCTTTAGAAATAGCCTTGAAAATTAGAGTTTTATTTTCAGGAGATCCCTAATACAGATCCCTAATCTACAGTCTCTTCTGAATGTTAGAGCCTAGACTGGTTAGGAAGGCAAAGATTCCTTCTTATATGCTAAAAATCTACAATGTTAAAAAACCTGTTAATCTACTCACATCAATGAAGCAGGGAGAAGTGGGTCGGGCTCATGATAGTAAGTAGTTGCTGATAACAATGAGTCCTTTACTAAGTTCTTATTTTATGCTACATGCTGTACATTAATTAACAAATTTTATTTAATTCTCACCACTTAAGAGATGGATGGTAACACACTAAATCTGATAATGGAATAATGGATCAGAAAATCATCAGGAAGTTAAAGTAATTATTTAATGTAAAAATCTATGATACACATTTATGACTTATCCCCCAAAGGTGCTATACTTTGCTTCTATTTTTTCTTTTACTTCCCTGTAATTTGAAAGTATCTTTCAGCTCTGAACAACTGATTCAATGCAACAAATACCTAACATTCTATTCTAGAAGACATAGGTAGTCTGGCTCTATGGAAGACACATGAATGAGGCTAAGTGACCAAATCTCATGCCGATAATACACACTGCTGGTAATAATTTCAAATACATGAAGTAGTCCCCTAGGTCTGGCAGCAAAGAAACTACAACAGTAACCATAAAGAAAGGCTTCTAGTTTCACCTATGAACTTACCAAAGAACAAAAACAAAAATCTATGCTATTGACATGCTCATACAATGACATCCATGAGCTTTCTTATGTTCACCAACATACAAGACGGTAATCCTCAATGCATGAAACGTATTGAATGGTATTCTCAAAACTTATGTTACACCACCTGCTGAGTTTTCTGATATTTGACAACTGTATACAAGATATTGGGATAATTATTTAAATCTTAGGAATTCATTATATAAATTAAATGAGGTTCATCAGCTCAAATAAATAACAATCTAGACGATCTCTGGATAATAATACAAGAGGGCTTCAACGGAGTTTGTGGAAAAAGGAACTATGAGGAAATGAAAAATATCCATAACCTTTTTGAAGTCCCTTCAAATGTGATCTTAGGCTCTGAGAGTTAAAATGGTCTTGAGAGAATTTACCATTTTCAGAGGTCACAGGGGAATGTGAAAAAGTGCATCTTGATGCCAGAGGTACACTGACTTAGATTTAATCAGTTCTAATCCCAATTCAGTTTTGGGCAATTTATTTTATTTTTCTGAGCGTTGGGGCTTTTATCTATCAAATGGAGTCAACAACAATGATCCTGAATGTTGTAAAAATGAGAAATGATACTTGTAAGTCTATATCAGAAGGACATAATAACTCAAAACCAAATTTACTGCCTTTGAATTGGTTCCGGTTCATAGAAACTTTATACATAACAGAATAAATCCTTACTATTAATTCTCACCCACAATCTCTGCACTGCATTATTGGCTCAAGCAGTAGTTCAACTCATAACACATAGCTGATTTGCCTAAAACTTAAACAAGTATGAAACCAATTAGTACAGGAGGAGCAGAGATAAACACAGTTTCTTCTGACAGTTTCCTGCAAACGACTTTCTCATGCAATTGCCATCTAAATATAAGCTCTAAGACTGGGTTAGTTAAGAGGACAATAATTGCCTTAGTATTTTTTTGGCTTTATCCTAGAAAATACTAATAGTAGCCGTAAACTTGAACTCTTATGGAATGTCCATAAAATGTGTAAGCATATAGCTACCATGAGATGGCTATCTTTTTGTATCACCGAGAAGATAAAGAAACAGTGAGAAAGAATTTATAATGGCAATTTTCAGAAATGGATTCATTATAAATGGCCTATCATGAAGCATGGAACAGATAAAGTACACTCATTTCAAAACCAAAGCAAAAATTCTTAAATAAAATACCTCTATGGTTAGTTTTACTGACTGCTGCCTCGGCTGACCAAAATCCTAATTTGTCTAATGCAAATGCAACTACTTTGAGTCCTTTAAAAACAAAACATTACGTCTAGTCTCTAGTGAGTACTCATTTAAAAACCTGAATCTATTAAGATGTATATTCATCTCTGATTAAACACCAAAATGATTTTCTTTGTACTACTTATACACAGTTAAATAACTTTTATATAGCTTAATAGAATGATTATGGATCATACAATTGTAGGAATTATGAGGACACGAGAAGGAGACACACAGTTTAAGATGTTAGAGCAATCTGCTGTTGACCTTCCCTTCCAGGTAGCTTGTTTAGCTATCGTTCAAATGAAACTTAAACTATCATTGTCTTTTGTCAGCACAAGTGTCTGGCAGTGAAACAGTGAATTAAAATATATGATCATAGCTTTAAATAATCAAAAGAAAGAATTTTAAGCCCATGCCAACAGTTTGCTATTAGAAAAGGTGAGGAAGAGAATTATTAAAACACTTTGGAGGACCCAGCTCTGCTAGTAGGGGTCCATGACGGAAGTGCCTCGTTTTCAAGAATGGACTGACATTTCTTTGGTTTTCGTTCAATTCTCTCCTGCTTTTCCTTCTTTTCCTAAAAAAGGAATTAGAAAAGTGTTACGTTTGCACACCCATAAAAACATCTCCAAATCAACTTGCTTGCTGAAATATAAAATGTAATTATTATTAGCTATGTATACACCATCTTGGTTATACGGAAATATCAGCCAACAAAGATGGCCAATGTATATTATCAACAGGTATTAAGGTCCCTTTTAAAGTAGGTCTTCTGCTACTTTGCTTACTTTATTGACCTGAGTGTAGTGTCAAAAGGACTTTTAGTCCTTTTGTGAATTTCAGGCTTATGTAGTTACCAGTTTAATCATACAGGTATCAGTGATTTTAATTTTAAAATATTTTATTTACATATAGCACATGGTAAAATAACCCTCACAAATTATCTATGTTACCATTTTTTGTTAATTTTCCCAAATATATTAAGAAATGTTTGAGCGATGAAAATCTGCTTTAAAAGTACCCACTAACTACCTTAGGAGATAAAGCACAACCCGTGGCTTTGCAGTTCCCTGGATCTCACCTCAACATATCATCCTCATTTCACACACCACTAAGGAGCCTTGTTAGTGCTGTGGGTTTCACATCGAACGTGTAACTGCAATGTCAGTAGTTCAAAACCAGGGAGTGCTCTGCAGAGACAGATGAAACGACCTACTCCTTTCAAGAGTTCCAGTTTTGGAAACCACATAGAGTCACAATGAGGTAGAATCAACCAGATAGTAATGTCGGTGTTTCCCACACCCTGGAAGCTACATGCAGTACATTTCAAAAATCTGTCTATTAAACATTTACTTATCTCTGAATAATAAAAGAAATCCCTTTAGCTGTTTTTTTCTTGAATTCCATAATAAAAGATATCACCCCATATGAAGTAGATCCCAAAAGTTCATGTAAAAATTCCATTGGCTTTTTTTTTATTCCACTGGCTTTTAATTCCATTTTCCCACAAACTTATTGAAGCCCTTGTACTCTTTGGCAACTCCTAAGTTATTATATTATTTTAAGCTCAATTTACATAGAGCCGAGCTCTAGTTCATTCATATACAAAATTCCATCATTTGAACATACCATAATTTATTCATCCCTCCTTTGTCAAAGACATGCTCCTATTTCTTGTTCTACTTAAAAACAATGCTACCATCATTCCTTGCATACACTAGCCAAACATCAAAGGATAGCAGGAATAAATTCATTAACAAAAAGCACCTTATGAGTTTGAGTTCTGTAGTTGAGTATGAAGTACCAGGAAATAAATTACAAATAATTCCTCATAGGGGAGTTATTCCAGAGCCCTCTGATATAAAAGTAATACCTTTTAACTGAATAATGTAATTGAAAGAAAAGTAGAGAGTCAAAAGTAAGGAGACATAACTTTTAAGATTTACAGCCTCAGAAACCCACAGGGCAGCCTTGTCCTATAGGGTTGATGTGTGTTGGAATAGGTTTGATGGCAGTGGATTTAGTTGCTTTTGAGTAAAAAACCCAAAAAAACCAAAAAACAAAACAAATTTGTCTTGGAAGAAATATAACTAGCATGCTTTTTAGAAGAACGGTGAGACTGTGTCTTATGTTATTAAGAGTCACACACACTTGACTAAGTAGAGGATGTTCAATGAGATGGACTGGCACGTGGCACAAGAATGGACTCAAATACAGCAATGATTGTGAGGATGGCACAGGACGGGGCAGTATTTACCTCTGTTTGTACACAGGAGCATTATGGGTTGGATTTAACTCAATGGCATATATAGCCACAGTTCTAAAGTTGACCAAGACACAACAACAATAAATCTATTGGTATTTTTATTAGGCTTCTATTAAACTAACGAATTAAATAAGGGAGAAAGATATTTGATCAGGATGGCTCTTTTTATCCAGAGCAGTTTTGTTCACGTCTTCCTGTGTGGCCTTCTGGAATGTTTTGAAGGTTCCTTCACATCAGTCTTGCACATTTCTTAAAATTATGCGCTTTACACAATTGATGTGTGTATGGATAGGGATTACAGTTGTATGAGCCCCTAATAAAATGTTAAAAAAAAAAAAAAAAGCTCACGGAAAATGGAAAAAAAAAATTATTCCTACATGCTTCAACGTTTTCTCCCACTTCGGTGTTTCATATCACTCTTTAGTTGCTCTTTTTTTTTTGACTCTTCAAATTTATGCCTGTTTCTTAACTAGTCTTGGTTCTAAACCTTACATAAAAAATAAGCACATAAGAATAGTCAGAAATACTGTAAAAGAGAATTTATGAAGGAAGACTAATCCAAGTAGATATGACAATGTATAAAGTCCTCATAATGACATTATCTGTCACTGGAATATGCACAAGGAGACTGAACGATGAAACAGAACGTTTAAAAACATGGGAAGGGCAGCATCTCATATTGGTGAGTAAAAGACGGACTGTGCTACAAGATATTTATTTGGAAAAATTACAGCTAGAATCATATTGGTATGATGTATCAGGAGAAACTCTAAGTAGATTAAATACTATTAACATTACAAATTACTAGAAGTAAAAACAGGATCATATGTTTTTAACTTCATATCATGGAGATGGCATTTCCAACTATAACTGAGAAACATGAAGCCAAAAGAAAAATTGATATCTTACCTAAAAATTCATACAACATAAAATACCATACATTAAAAGAAAAACAATATACTAGAAAAAGTTACAGCTGGTTATTTCCTGTTATTTAAACTTTCTAGAAATGAATAAGAAATGCTGGCAACTCAACAGAAAAATAGGCGATGTCTTCAGATTGGAATACAAATGTTTGTTAAATAATGAAAAACAAACAAAAAAACAACTAAATCTCAGTCTAACCAGAGAAATGCAAATAATAAATACTCTGGCTACAACTAACAGGAGTGCACGCATTAAAAAAAGTTTTAAAATTGATTGAATAAATTATGGGGAAAGAGAGATTCTCTCTATATCAATTGCAAAATTATACAAGGCCTACATAAGGCTTTTCTGGTAAGAGCTATTACAATTACATGAAACTTTAGCCTAGAAATCACGCTCTAGAAATGTATCCCACCCATATTATGCACAAAGTTATTTACTGTAGCTTTGTTAGTGAAAACAAAATGCAGAATGGAGAAATACACAAATGCAATCAATGGAATACAGGGACTTACAATATAGAGTATTACCAAAAACAATTAGGCTCACTACATATTGATAAAGAAATATTTCCAAAATACTTTCAGCAGATAAAAAATGCAAGGTAAAAGAGAATATTATGACTGAAGTTTTGTTATTTGAGGAATAATAGAAGCACTTATAGAAATCAAAAGATCAGGAAGAAAATACACGTATATAAGGAGATTTCTAGTTAGAAATTCTCAGTAAATTCTCAGGAGACAAAGAAACCTTTGAAATAGAGGTAGAAAATACAGGTATTGAAATACAGATAGAAAATATCACATGACCTGGAGGCTGAGGGGCAGATCCACACACACCTCACAGATCTGTGGTGGGAGCCCCCTTTTCCTGTAGCTGCCGTCAGGCCCGTGTAGCCCCCTCAGTACATGTAGACACTCCAGTTCCTACCTGTATTGTGGCACCTGATCCCTCGCAAGATGGGAAGGGGCCTTGCAGGGACACCCCCCACCAAAAAAAAAAAAATAAACAAGGAAACATGTAAAAAAAAAAAGAAAATATCACATGAAGCTTACAGATCCTTATGAAAAGGAGGTGACATCTATGAAGAGAATTAATATTAAAAAAAAAAAGTTCAGTGTTGTAGTTACATAATCTGTTGTGAATTTGAGACTTAGGAGTGAAGGGATGGAGGTTAGCCTGTCAATCAGGTCACAACTTCATGACCTCATTTGGAGGCACTGTGGAGATTAATAGCTCACTGGAGGAGGGGCACGCTCACTCCCTGTGAGACATGCTTGCTGACAAGACACATGGAGCTCCACTAGAGCCCTGGTGCTGAAGAAGCCACGTAGAGACCCCTGCCAGCGCTGAGATGGCTCTAATGCCACTGGATCCATAAGACTTAACCTCCCACTGGCCTGTGATCTTCCTGCATTCTGCACCATTGCATGTGTTTCATAAGTCTGAAGAGGAATTTACAGATTGGTATTGGACATATGGGCTAATAGCAGACTTGTGGACTTGATTTGGACTTGGCTGGGATGTTTTCTCAATATTCAATTGCTCCTTATATAAAGCTCTTCCTTATACACATATGAGTACTTATGACTTCGTTTCTCTAGTCTAACCTAGCACATTCAGGAATACAACTGTCCAGAAACATTCAAAGATTAAAAACAAAAAAGAGACTTCCGGGAAGATGGCGACCGAGTAACACATACCAGAGGGACTCCACAGAAATCAGCCCAGGAGAGTCACTCAGAGGGACAGGAGGCGCATCATAAAGATAAGTAGGTACAGATCCACAAGGTTTTGAGGGGCTGGGTCTTTTGGCTTACCACAGTGGAGGCCGGCTATGGCTTGTCCTTAGCCCCGCCACTGTCTTGGCCCGAGCTGGGATTATTTGGAGGTGGCGCAGGGGCTTTATCTCAACACAGCTAGAGCTTGCTGCTGCCTTGGGGCAGGGAATAAACCCTTGCAGCTCCATGGGCAGGGATCGGGCCTCAGCTATATTGTTATCTTTGTTTCCCTCTCTTCTCCCCCTCCCCGCCAAAGTCTCAACAGGCTTAGTTTTGGGATTTTTTTTATCCCCTTTGTCTCTTCCCTTTTCTCTCACACACCACTGCCAACCTCCAGACGATACCAGGAGGATGGAGGAAAGGTGGGGTAGGAAGGGGGAACTGATTACAAGGATCTATATATAACATCTTCCATGGGGGATGGACAACAGAAAATTGGGTGAAGGGAGAAGTCGGACAGTGCAAGAAATAAGATAATAATAATAATAATTTATAAATTATCAAGGGTTCATGAGGGAGGGGAGAGTGGGGCAGGGAGGGAAGGGGAAAAAATGAGGAGCTGATACCAAGGGCTCAAGTAGAAAACAAATGTTTTGAGAATGACGAGGGCAACAAAAGTACAAATGTGCTTGACACAGTGGCTGTATGTATGGATTGTGATATGTATGGATTAAAAAAACAAGAGAAAAATCAACACGATAGACTAGATCACAAAAGTAAATAAGATTCCAGACCGTGTGTTTCTAAAGGATGTCAGAGTTTAAAAAAAGAATAGTTATAATGGGAACTGCAAGAATAACCATAAACAATAAATCAGAAAATGTGTGTGTGTGTGTCTGAAAATTGTGCATGAGCAGATATTAGTAGGATGAAAGGTTGTGGAAGGGGCAGGATGTAGGTTCTCAGATACTTTTATAAGCAACTAGCATACTGCTTATCTAATAAAAGGCTCAGTATTTAACTGGCCTGAAAAAAATGGCCCGTACGAAAGACCAACGAGATCTGTGCAGAGAGAATACCTACCAACCATCTTTCATATTCATCAAGAGCTTGTTTATCTTTATCTCTTTTCTCAGCTCTCTTCAGGTCTTCCTTCTTTTTCTCATTTATTTTCTCTTTTTCCTTTTGTTTGAATAGCACATCCTTTCTCTCATTCCTGTGTAGAATAATGTAAAATATTGAAAAGTGAGATAAGAGATGGTAAAATTGCTAGCGGGGGCACGGGGCGCTAGCCCACCCAAGGGGAGGGTCTTGTTTATGTCTCCACAGGGAAAGAGTGCCCGTCTTCAACCCGGTGCCCCAAGGTGCGAACGCAACATGCCGGCGCGGAGTAGGGGACCAGTGGAGAGGTGTGAGGGGCTGGCCCCAGTCCCAAATACTTAGTGGATGCCTGCCCCTCCCCCCAGAAGAATTTATTTCAAAGGATGGCACTGAATCCGCAGCTCCGGGAGAGGGACATATGTGAGCAGAGCACACGGGAGGAGATGAAGGGGGAGGAGGAGAGACTGGAGCACATCCTGGCCCACCAGGCTTTGAGGACGATGACCCAATTAGAGCAGCCAGCCCACAGAGAGGACCACATGGGCAGCCCCACTATGAGACATGACGCCCCTCACTGACCCATGGCCCTGAGGGGGACAGCACCAGAGACACAGTGTGGGAATTGTGCCTGATCGGTTCCCGCCACCCGACGCAAAGCACTGGGGGAGTGCAGTGCAACAGCAAGGGAATGGAGTGGCAAGGTCCCCAGGGAATGCTGGAGGTGGACTTTGGGGCCAGGGCGTGGTGCCCCAACAGACTGGACTGGAAAACACTCCTAAATGCCAACAATCGGTCCTTGAACTAACTACAAGCTTTTCTTTCTTCTTGTGTTTTGATTTGTTCTTTGTCAGTGGTTTGTTGTTGTTTTGTTGTATATTGTTACTTGGTTTTGCTGTTTTGCTTTTGTGCATGTTAATTATCTCCGCAGGTCTGTCTAAATAAGATAGGCTGGATGAACAATCTGGAGGAGCAAACAACAGGACCGACATTTCTGGGGGGACCTTGGGAGAGGAGGAGGTGGGGGGAAAGGAAGTGGTGTTAACAAACCCAGGGACAAGGGAACAACAAGTGATCCAAATTGGTGGTGAGGTGGGTGTGGGAGGCCTGGTAGGGCATGATCAAGGGTAATGTAACAAAGAGGAATTGCTGAAACCCTGGCTAAAAAAAAAAGATTGCCTACTTAATCTTTGGTAATAATGAGATTAAGACACATTAGGAAACTTTAAGTGGATCAATTCTAGTGACGTCTCAAGTGTTTAATTAAAGTCTATCCAAATATTTATTACTTTGGATTACCATTTTTCAACTGCAATTAAATTGTCTTTCTTTTTCTCAGCAACGCTCTCCTCCTCTTTCTGCTTCTTTGCTCTTTCATATTCTTTCGCCTTTCTACTTTTCTCTTTAAGATATTCCATCTTTTTCTCTTTCCATTTCTCAAAAGCCTGGAATAAAATTCAGAATGGTTTTGTGTACTGACGCAATTTTCCTTTTTATATCGTTTGTGATATTCACTATAAAGGGCAAAAATGCGGTTAATCTTGACTACAGACTGTCAATGTTTAGAGATAATTCTGAGAGAGATAATCAAACGTCAGTACTTGGAGCGCTTCTCCTTTGCGCACAGCATTTTCTTCTTCCGTGTTCTTCTTGTTTTTTGCCTCCAGTCTCTTTTTTGCAGCCGTTTTCTTTGCTCCCTTTTCCTTCATAGCCTTCCAAGCCTCAAATGATGCTAACGCTTCTTCTCTTTTGGCCGCTCTTTTCTATTTTGGAAAGATAAGCAAATTTGTAAGTGTTTATGAGCATTCCTATGCATGTACATACGAAGGTTAGTCAATGAGTAAGCATAGAGACTTTTAGTAACCATAAATACAAAAACGTGAAGTCCATATTTCATGACATTCTCCCCATCCAGGTCTCTCCCGAAGGAGCCCTGGTGGTGTGGTGGTTAAGAGTGGGGCTGCGGTCCACGTGGTCGGCAGTTGGAAACCACCAGCTGCTCTACGGGAGAAAGACTGGGCTTTCCACTTTGGTGAACTTGCAAACCCAGAGCGGGGTCACCGTCGTCAGCCCTGGCAGTGAGAAGTCTACACATGGGAAACATGGGGCTTTCCACGTCTGCAAAGAGTTTCAGAAACCCACAAGGGCAGTTCCACCCTGCCCTGCAGTGTCGCTGTGAGTCGCCATCAACTTCATGGCAGCGAGCTTGGTTTTGGAGAGGTCTGTACTTGGCCGAGGCACTGCTGCATCTCTTTAATCCTTCCGTGAGGAATTCTGTGTTTTCACATGTCCACCAGACCAACATGGCAGTTTTGACATCCTGGAGGAAATCACATTGGGCTCCTTTGAACTGCTCTTTTAGATTTGGGGGACGGAATCTTAGGGTGGATATCCAGGCTGTCCGGAGGATGAGGTGAGGTTTCCTAACAACATGTTTCATAGGACAGTCCTCACGACTTTACAGATGAGCCCTCAAAAAGAAAGAGCAGGTCAATGGTCGTGAAAAGGGGCGGAGATTCCTCGACAAAATTAGTCTGGTCGTTTTCTCAGCCACGGAGTTTGCCAATTCTTAAAATTTCTTCCTAATAAGTCCCTGTAGTTGTCCTTTGAGAAAATCTACCATGATTACCTCCCTCCCTGGGGTCTTCTGAACTTATCTGTCAGCCTTGAATTTAACTGACTTAACAGATCCCTTTGGAAGTTACCAAAACAAGTCTATTACTGAAAGAACTTATCTGTCGCCACCCACTCTGGCATGTTTAAACACATTTTTTTTTGGGGGGGGGGGGCGGTGCTTACATGAACTGGATTGCTAGGAGCAATACTTTTTGACTTACCCTCGTACATATATAGATAATATATAAAATAGATCTCACATATATGTGTATCTCTACTCACTTTGACATTTAGCATATGTAGAAATTATGTTCCAAACACATAATTTATTCAGAATGATTTGGAAAAGTTGATTGGTAAAAGAAGTAATTGGAATATTCCATTGCATCTTAAAATACATTTTTAAAAAGCATTTATCAGTAACTGCTCTACTACTTTTGAGAAACAGAAATCCACTATTTCTTGTTTTTGAACTATATTAAGAAAATATTATGAAAATATACTGTGATAGGATGAGGTGCACTAGCATTTTTTTTTTCATAAAATATTTAGATTAAAGAAAAGTATCAGAAAAGTTATAGGCATATGTGTAAGTTGAATAAATTAAATTATAACCAAGTTCATAAGCAAATGCAGATCTTTGATTGAAACACCAGCACGCGGACATTAAAAAATCAGAATTTTACTGCTCCTAAATACTCCAAATGCTTAAACTATGAACCATTTGGGAAAATATACAAGTTATTGGATAACAGATATGCTATTTATTTACTTCAGTGTTTAATCCTATACTATCCTATTATATGTTTTGTAATACTAATGTCAATTTTAATGTCATGAAGAGAAAGTAGCCCAGCAGTAAAAGGACCACCTCCCTTACAGAATGATGAAGAGTAAGCGCAATGGAGCTCTGACCAAACAAAGCACTTGGATGCTACAAATGGGAGAAGAGGTGTGCTGACAAATCCCCGGTTGAGCTGTCCTAGTCTATCCCACAGGGGACTGACTGATACCAAGTCCTGTTCATTCTGGGAATATTTCTTTTTACATCCATTTTCATGTTGAAGAGCACCAAGAACAGTTGTTTGCCAAAGCCTTCTTTTTTGAAGGTGGGGGAGACCCGAGCTTGCCTGTAGGCCACCAGGCACGCAAGAGAGAAAGGGACTGAGCATGTTGCTAAAGACTGACGCAAGATGCCAGCTCCAGTCAATGGGAGAGGTATGCAATCAAAAGCACAGGTTGGGAAGAAGAAAATTGAAAGCTATATTCCTGGCCAAGTTAGAAAGGAGGTCAAGTTTTCAAGAGTGAAGTAGCTACACATGATAAGATGCTGAAATGGTAACACAAAGCAAGAGCTAAAATACAGAGTGTTTTCTATGTATCAGTCATATAATACATCCCAATAAGAAATAATTTTTTTTGATGTGTGCCTTGGTTTTAAGACCCATTCCTGGGTTTATCTGGGGCACTGATTCAGAAAATTGCAGTGGGTAGACTGGATCAGCGTTAGTTTCTTAGGTACGGTGTTCCACTATGTTTTCACCATTGAATTTTACTAATTTATTAATTTATTTATCAACCGAGTTTAAATATGAGAAGAATTCAGACCCACAAATAATAAGAAAGACAACATAATGAAAAATAATTAGCTATAGTAAGGGACTTCCAAGGGAAGCTGTATGTGGACCCAGGATGACTAGTTGGGTTACATAATGAGGTGCCAATAAGGTCAGTGGTTCAAACCCAAGTAGTTCTTCAATATGAGTTAGAATCGAATAGATGACAACAATTTTCCTTTTTGGGATGGGAAGTTGTACTATATACACAGAGACTACATGTAAGGTAGACACTGCATGCAAAGTCAGAACCCAGCCTGAGAAGCATGGAAAATGCAAAAGAAAACGGAAAAGGATCCTCCATGGAAGGTGTGAGGGCAATTTAGAGTGCCAAAAATATAAGACTTCATAGCAATTTTCAAAAATATCTTGAAGACCTAAATTGTTCTTCTTCAAATGATGCAGTCAACATTTCAGAGCACATTTTAATATATAAGAAGTCAATGGATAATCCATGCTAAATGGTTCAGAGGTGAGGTTTACTCCAAGCTTCTTTAGAAGAAAAAAATGTCACTTTTCTTTTCAGGATTATTGTACACAGGTGGAGAAGTTGTGCCATCTTCTAGCAACACTGGAACTGGTTAATTTTAATAAAGGAGTTTGAACTCTACAGACACATTTTGGGTTTCAGAACATTGGAGTCTCCATTTATTGTACCAAACTCGTTACCAGTCAATTATGACTCGTATCAACCCTATTGGACCAAGTGGAACTTCTCCTGTAAGTTTCTGAGGCTGTAAATCGTTATGGGAACAGAAAGTCTCATCGCTCTCACAGAGCAGCTAGTGAGTGGGCTTGCCCTTGTGTTTAGCAGTCAAACCCATACCCATTGTAGAGTAACTTATCACTGGCCCCTTTCTAAGTTAGCAAATTGGAACTGCCTGTTACTCAGTTTCAAATCAAGGTGAAACGGTACCTGAGGAAAATCCCAAATTCATATAATTTGCATTGTTCTAATATATCTTTGGATGAAGGGAAGAGTAAATATTTGTCCTAAATATCTAGTACAACAAAACTACTTCAAATAAATCCAGCAAGCAATTCCTCTATATCAGGATCACTAACATTAATTAAAATTTCCTGGTATATTTTAAGGGAAAGCATAGTGAACAGTGGTATATAGTATCTCAAAAATGAGAGCTGACGGGAAAATTGGTTCCATTACTTGAGTCAACAGGTCAAATGTACTCAGAAATAAGTCTAACCCTTGAGGCACCAAAATGTGTGTTGGCCAGTGTAATATGCATGCTATACCTGTATTGCTTAGTTCATATAATCCTCACAACAACAATAGCTAGGCTTGATTACTATTTGTATACAGATGATTAAGTTGAAAAGTAAAGTTTAAGCAACTTGCTCAAAGTTAGAGAGTCGGGTTCTAAACAGCAAACAAACAAATGGAACAAACTCACTGCCATTAAGTTCATTCCGACTCACAGCAGTCCTGTAGGCCAGGAGAGAACTGCCCCGGTACGTTTTCAAGATTATAATTCTTTATGGGAAAAGAAACCCTTGTCTTTCTTCCACGGAGTCGCTGGTGGTTTCAAAGTGCTGATCTTACAGTTAGCTCCGCAATACCTAACTACTACTCCACCAGGGCTAGACTCAAAAAACGAGTTAAAAAAATAGTGGATTAGCATTTTATTCTCAGATGGGGACTGATATGACATAGAAAGTAGGCAGTTTTTGCTTGGCAGTCCTAAATCAACATAAAGAAAAAGTAGGAAGGGCCACAAGTAGGCTTTTTGAGTGTGCGATATTATTGCAGGAAGTGATTTAACTTCGGAAAGTTTAGATAAGCAGACAGACCTGAAGTGCTTAATAAGGGTAATAAAGAAAAAAGCAAAGCAACAGAAATCAATAGGAAATAACAAACAAAACAAGACACAGACTTTCATGCCAAGAAAACAGACTTTGGAAGCTACCAAGAAGGTGGTGCAGTGGTTACTCACTGGGACGCGAGTCACATGGTCAGCAAAGGGGGGGCCCCCAGCCCTCTGCAGGAGAAAGACAGGGCTTTCTAATCCCATAACCATCCCATAAACCCACAGGGACTGCGCTATGAGTTGGTATCGACTCAATGGCAGTGAGATTATTTGATAGCCTTCATAATTTGTATATTAAAGGAAAAACACAAATGGCTCTGTCTTTCTGTAAAAACACTGTACTATAGTTTTATCAAACTAAAGTTTCATATTGCTGTTTTCATAATTTCTTTGCTTTTTGTGATATGTCTTAGTTCGGCAGTCACTTTTACCTTAGTGAAGTAGCTTTAATTTTTGTTACCTGTGTGTAACCCTCTTAAAGTTCTTAAGCAGAATTCAGTCACTTAAAATTTCAACCAGTATAAGTGAATGTTCCATGCACTTTAGCTGAACAAACTTTTCTATATAAACATATTTTCATTTTCTCACTATTATTTTAAATTCTATACCAATGGCTAAATGAATAAATATTATTATCAGAAATACCAGTGTCCCCTTTAGGTTATTTATATTATTTTTCAAGAAGCTGATAATACTGCCTCTAAAGTGGACTAGGGATATATATATATAAACTTTAGATATTTTAAATAGATTTTGAGCTTATACACAATTGTAGGCCATAATTTAAAAACAATTTGTTCTTATGATTTGGTCCTGCTCAATATTTGAAGTGATCGTTGGATACTATCGCATGAAATGATCGTTGGGTACTATCGCATGAAGTGATCGTTGGGTACTATCGCATGAAGTGATCGTTGGGTACTATCGCATGAAGTGATCGTTGGGTACTATCGCATGAAGTGATCGTTGGGTACCATCGCATGAAGTGATCGTTGGGTACCATCGCCAAGTGTGGTCAGAAAGCAGATGGTGTTTCGCTATCAGAAAGACTAGTGGCTGAAGTGCAAGGTGTCCACTTGGTTCACATGGAAGTAGCATACCAGTCTGTGGGACCCATGGATTGTAAATAATAAAATATAAGACTAGAAGAGGAAATTGTACCAGAGCTTAAATTCTGAGCCATGGTTTGTAGAAAGCTATGAATCATTGTGAAGGCCCAAAATCCATTTGCAGAATCTATACATGGATGAAGTCTACGTGGAACTCCCTGGGACCATTGACCAGACATGTGAGTAGTTTTGTTTTCAGACAGAGTGCATGGGAAAATGGATTATTATAGATCAAGCTTAAAATTTAACATATTTTCCTTTTGACCCATTCTTAACTTGTTCTAGTTTATATACTCGAGTATAAGCCCGAATATCAGCCAAGGCACCTAATTTTACCACAAAAACTGCATTAAAAATGTGCTGAAAAACTCAGCTTATACACGAGCACATAGGGTATATTATTTTCTGCTTTCTTTTGGATTAAAATTTATCTGTGTTTTATTTTGTTGGTTATGGGGTTCTTTTATTGGTATGATTTTCATTTTATGAAACACAAGATAGGTGGTAAATCTATAGAGACAGTAACTAGAGTCATAGATCCTTAGGATTATGACAGGGAAGGTTGGGGGAAATAAGAAACTAATGACAATAAATACAAGAATGAAGGAAATAATCTAAAATTGATTGTAGTGATGATTGCACAACTTTTAAAAACATATTTAAACCACTGGGGGAGGGGATCTAAAAACGTATAAGGTAATATAAACAAAAATCAGAAACTGATTCTTTGATATATCTTATTTTGCCATATAAAAATGGCTGATTTAGAAACAGCAAATATTCATAGATACTTTACTGACATAGAATTTCACACTTTTTTACTTCTAAAATTCATAATACCTGTTCATCTTGTATCCTTAAATTTTCACTTTCAATCCTTTTAATTCTATGCAGTTCATGTAAATATACATTTTTCTTTTCTAACCAGTCCTATGAGAACAAGGAAAAGGTTATATTAGTCACTGTTTCCCAAATGAATTTTGCTTTTATATTTTTTATAAATTGCAGTTGAATATTTTCTTTCTTTAAAAACATACACAATCATTTAAAACAAATTTGAAAATAAATAAGCTATTTTTAAAAGACTCTGGATTATTCATATATTACAAAGAAAGATCTTTTACAATAAAATTCAGTATTAATCTTCATTCCTGATCGCACTACTTTATTTTTCGGTAAACTGATAGTCTTATGTAAATTATCATGTAAATTGTTCTGCCTTTCCTTGAAATTTTTGAAATATGTTCCTTCTTACCTGATAAATAGCTGCCCTTATGTCATCTGCTTTGTTAGGCTCCATGTTTTGTTTCTGTGAAGGTTTTTGGTCCAAAAATTTCAAAGTTCCTAAATAGTGAGAAGAGGTAGTTGCTGATGAAGTTTTCCTTACAGAACTGGATTTCTTTAAAAATGCAGAGGTCATTAATCTGAAAAGATGCAAATAAACATAAAAACAAACAATATAATGCATTTTTAAGAAAAAAGAACCATTAGAATTAGCAACTACCACACTTGAAACTACATTATTTTAATTTAATATAATTATATTAATAATGGTACAGATCAAGTATACAATAGGTACTTAGGACACAAAGAATAATTATTCAATACCTTTTCAATTATATAACTTTAAGTTCTACAATTTTAAAATGAATGTTCTATTGAGATACTTGTAATTAGACCATTTTAGGAAAGCATTTCCGATGACTTGAAAAGTAATATTCACTAAGTGAAGTTTAATCTGTCTTTTAATAATTTTGTTGCATTTTTTATTACATAAACAGTTCTGAAAATAAAGTTGGAAAGAAGAGTGCCCTCTACGTCAGGGTCAAGTAGTTAAATTTGGCCCACCGTTTTACAGTAAAGTTTTATTATAACACAGTGATGTCCACTCATGTACTGCTTTCCTAGAGCAAGAGTGTAGAAGAGTTAAAATAAAGACTATGCTCCAAAGCCTAAAATATGTACTATCTGGTCCTATGCAAAAAATCTGCTAACCCTGCTCTATTTGATTGTAAATCATTTGATTAATGAGAATTTCAATGATTAAAAAGGTTTCCATTAGCATTTATTAATTATGCATATATCATCAATGTAGATAAAGCTATTGTTTTAATAACCAAAGTTAGTCCATGAAACATGAAAGCTCTATGTATATTTTTTTCATGCACTTAATCAGAAGTATGAAGGAGCTTCAAAACTTTCATGGAAAAATTCCATGTCTTTTAAGTCTATCTTCCCATGAACCTTTTGAAACTCCCCCCTCTAATGCTGAACTTAGGCTCTATCACCATTACTATCCATCCACCCACAGCCACCGAGTTGATTCTGACTCATAGTGACCCAATGCAGTGCTACTGAGGCTGTAAGTCTTTATAGGTGTAGACAGCCTGATCTTTCTCCCAAGGAGGGGCTGGTGGGTTTGAACCACTGACCTTAGGGTTAGCAGTCCAATGTTTACCCAAGAGTGCCACCAGGGTTCCTTTATTATAGCCATAATAACAGGAAAAACAAGAGAAAGGAGCTCTAGTCCAAGAGAACTAGAGTATGAAACATCTGCAGTCATTGATGTCAGGAAAGAAGGAAAAAGTTCCCTCCAGAATGAGATCTTGGAGACCAAACAGCACAAGCATTCTAGGCATGAAAAAACCAACTAGTGGTAGATTTAACCGTTTAAAAATCCCTTTATTTGTAAGATAACATAATGAATTAAGGTTTTTATCATGAAGCTTGTCATCCGTCTCATGAGATGAGGTCATGAGAAGACATGAAATACAAACTCACCACCATGGGGTCAAATCTGACTCATGGTGACCTTGCAGGACAGAGTAGAACTGACTCGGCAGGTTTCGGAGGCTGTAGCTATTTATGGGAGTAGAAATCCCCCATTTTTCTCCAGAGGAGTGGCTAGTTATTTTGAATGCCGACCTGGTAGTTACCGTATATACTCGTGTATAAGCCGAGTTTTTCAGCACATTTTTTAATGCAGTAAAATTAGGTGCCTCAGCTGATATTTGGATCAGCTTACACTCGAATATATACTATAACAGCCCACTGGGTACCCATGACACCACCAGGGCTCCCTGATGTGAAAGCTAAACACCATGAAATAGGATTTCCTTTATAAAAACTGAAATTCACCACCATCTTTGCCAGAATGAAAATCCACAAAGATGTTGATTACCTGGGAGATGCACTGGATGCTCTATTATTTGTTAATTTTTTATTCTTCATATTTCTGTCTTCAATTGCTTCCTATTAAACAGAAAAAGCCGAAGATGGATCATTCACATTAGCTACCACAGTTATTATGAGGCCAGGTTGTCAATAAACCAGTATTTTTTTAAGCATTTAACATGAGTAGGCATTAGGGGGAAATCTCGACTAAAGTGCCCATAAAGGCACTCGCTTTTATAGAGAGTCAACAGAGAGTAAATGGAGAGATAAATGTGGAGACAAAGTAGGGCACAGTGAAAGAGAGGGCAGGAGTGGGGTTTCAGGACCCTCTACATTAGGAGATTCAGAAGTGTTCCCGAGGGGCTGACTTCTGAGCTGAGACTCAAATGCTGCACAGAAAGGGCCTGTAAGAAAGCATGCAGATAGAGAGAAACTGCCTGAAGGGGGCGAAAGTTTGGGACTGTTTGAGAAAGAGAAAAAAGTCAGTGATCTAAGAGCAGAAGAACTAGAGGGTGCCTGGCTACTGAAAGAAGAGTGAACGAAAACTCAAAACCATACACAAGACCAGGCTTCCTGGGTAGACAGAGACTAGCCCACACTCACTCTTTAGGTCTGGAAATGACCTCACCGGAATGACTCAACTTTCCGCAAAACAATAGGTATATAACAGGGACAATCACACTTGTGATTTTCGCAAGCCTTTTCTTTTTTTTAAAGCATTTTATTGGGGGCTCTTACTACAATCCATACCCACAGCCATTGTGTCAAGCACATTTGTACATGTGCTGCGTGTCTTAGACTAATCAATCGACCATTTAAGACCTAAAAGGGCAGCACTTATCCAAGGAAATCGTTCAAAAAGGTTAGGAATGAAAGGTGAGTGGAAGCAAAATACAAGGAGGGAGTTGGATAGTCATGTTTCATTTTGAATTGTAGTCAAAGACATGAAACAAGGACCTTATCTGTAAACTTCATATAATTAAATGTCCTGCTCAACTACCTGTGCTCAGCTACGACTGCTGGCTTCCTCTAATGAGTGAGCCCACATAACTGCCAGCTAACTGCAGGTTTAAGAGATAAAGATTAGGGTCAAGAGAGGTAGAAATTGAAAATACAAATACTATAATTTTAAAAGTTTAATATTCTGGAAAAATTTAATATAGGATCAAATAATCCTCAACCCACAACTTACTGCTATCAGCTCCACTGCGACTATATTCTACCTCATCTTCAGACCCTGTGACTATACGATTAAGTGCTTTTTATAGGATTTATAAAATTTCAGCTTTCAAAACTGTTGGCTCCTGTTTCATTAAAAATTACCCGAGCTATATAACCACACTGTATTTGACGTACTTTATAAATGTGGAATGTTCTATTGTTCTTAGGTATCCTTGAATCAGTTCCAACTCAGCGACCCTCTATACAATGGAACAAAACAGCCCCGTCCTACATCTTTTGCACAGTTACTGCTGTGTTTGAGCGCACTGTGGCAGCCACGATGCCAGTTAATCTCACGGAGGCCCTTCCTTCTAACTCACCCTTTATTCACTACAGTAAGCATGTCCTGTACTACACTGGTTTCACCTGATAATATGCCCAAAGTCCATTAGACACATTCTGGACATCTTCGCTTCTCAGGAGCATTCTAGCTGTACTTCCGACCAAGCAGATTTGTTTGTGGCTCTGGCAGTCTGTGTTACTTTCAATATATTTTGCCAACAACAAATGCAATAATTCTCCTCTTATCTTTTGCCTTATCTTTTACTTCATTTCTCCTAGTCACTTTAAGCTCATCAGCACGTTCTATGGTCTCTTCTGACATCCATTTCGATCTTTTCTCTCATTTTTTTGTTTAACTACTGCTTGCTTTCTTCGTGTGTGCTCTTGTTCGTAATGTCCCACCCCACAACTCCCATCTGGTCTTTGACCACAGTTCAATGTGTCCACTCTATTCTTGAGACGTTCTTTAAATTCAGGTGGGATAACTGCAAGGTCTTATTTTAAGTTTCTTGGGCTTGTTCACAGTTTTGTTTTGTTTTTAATTTCATTCTGAAGTTTTATATGAACAACTCTTGGTCTGTCCTGGCGATGTTGTGCCCACTGGTATTACGTTTCTCTATCATCTCTTTCCATTGATGTAATTGATTTTATTCCTGTGATTACAACGGGTGAGATCTATCTATACAGTCACTACTTACGTTGTTTAAAAATGGTATTTGAAACAAATAAGTATTTAGTCTTGTAATCGCCAGTGCCATTTCTTTTCTTTTTTTTAATAATTCTATTAGGGGCTCATACAACTCTTATCACAATCAATACATACATCAATTGTGTAAAGCACATTTGTACATTCATTGCCCTCATCATTCTCAAAACGTTTGCTCTCCACCAAAGCCCCTGGCATCAGCTACTCATTTTTCCCCTTTCTCCCTGCTGCCCCCTCCCTCATAAACCCTTGATAATTTATAAATTATTATTTTGTCATATCTTTCCCTGTCTGAGGTCTCCCTTCACCCACTTTTCTGTTGTCCGTCCCCCAGGGAACACCAAGGTTAGTTTACCAACTACTGATCCTTCTTCTGTTTCTAACTTTCACATTCTAGTCGCTAGTAATTAATAATGCATACTGCTTGCATAGTTGATCAAGTTAAGACTGAAAAAGTTGGCAGAACCCCTCAATGTCTTCACCGTTGGCTTTAGTGGTTGGTGTGTTAACATGGATAACAGTTATATTAGCTGGCCTTCCTGATAGGTATCTGAATACTATTCTACTATGATAGTATTTAACTTCAATTTTTCATCTCTGTCATAGTAAAACAGATGGGCAATTCAAAATGGCCTATAGTGATCCACTTCAGCAGACTAATACCTGGGATCCTGAACTTTAAGTGTTCCATTTCATTTTTGCCAACTTCCAGTTTTCCAAAATTCACACTTCTTACATTCCATGCTCCAATTATGAATGGATGCTTGCAGCTGTTTCTTCTTATTATGTGTGTGTGCCACCAGCAAACGAAGGTCCTAAAAGCTGTGTTCTATCCATGTCATTAAGATCCGTTCTACTTTGAGGAGGTAGCACTTCTACAGTTGTACGACGAATGCTCTTCAAGTCGAGGTGTTCATCTTTTGGTACTGTATCTGACAGTGCTCCACTCTTGTTGGTAAGGTTTCCAAGTAGCTAATTTTTGTATAGAAATAGTCGATCTGTGCCCTCTTCCCAGTGGGTGTTAGGCTGGAAGTTCCACTGAAACTTGTCTACCTGAGGCACTCATGCTGGAATGTGAACAACTGATGGCACAGCAGAAGCCACCACAGAAAACAAATTGATAGTACATGCTGGATCGGGTTCTATAGGTCTCCGCTTAATAAAAATATAGATACCTGAAATAATTTCTCTGGTCTTTCATTAGTGACAATTATTTTTTTCCAATGCCATCTTACAACATTTTAACAATTTTCTTGCAAATCTTTCAAGAAACATTTATCGAAAACCATACTTTTAAAAATAGATGAATAGGGTCATCATGATAATCAGCTCCACATTATGAACTA